AGAAATTGACCATATTTAAACATGGAAATAATTTTGGTCTTAGTGCTTGAAACTTACATTTGTTTTATCTGAGTTCCTTCCTCAGGAAAGGACTACTAGATGGCTCAAAAGGTATCAAAGAACTGAAACTCACCAGGTCCTCACATCCAGACCATGAGAGGCCAAGCCCCTCACTCATGATGATTGCTTCCTGCCTAGTTCCTGTTTTCCCACAAAGAATTACATTTCTTCTCTACTACATAAACCCCCAAGTTTATTTGGTCAGGGGATGGGGACTGATCTTCCATCTCCTCAGCTGCAGCACCCAATTAAAGCCTTCTTCCCTGGCAATACTCATTGCCTCAGTGATTAGCTTTCTGTGTAGTGAGCAGCAGGACCTAGGCCAAACCCCTGGTGTTTCAGTAACAGTTTTCTAATGCCAAATTGTTCTATTTCTTTCCTATATCTTATACTGTGAGAAATTGAGAACCAAAATGTCACCTATACATTCCTATAATGTCTAGAAATTTAAAAATGGGTGTTCAAAAAGTATTTTTTGCATGAATGAGTGTTTAGAGCAGTACCGCTATTCCAGGTAGGTACTGCAGGAGCTGGAATTCCATATAACTGAAATGGGGCAATGTATGGTCAGATCAAATGTTTTAAGAATATATTGAGGAAACATGACAAAATCAGATTCAATTATAGAATCTCAAGAAAGAAGAAAACAGTATAATGGCATACAATGTAGCACATCTTTTTAAGGACAGGGCTATCTGAAATTTTAAAAGTTTACCATAAACAATCTAAAGAATCTGAAAATACTGGATGAAGTCTCTAAGAAAAAACACCAACTGATATAGTTTGGATCTGTTTTCACCCAAATTCCATGTTGAAATGTAATTCCCAATACTGAAGGTGGGGCCTGGTGGAAGGTGATTGGATCTAATGGTTTAGCACCATCCGTCTCATGGTAGAGCTTTCATGTGATCTGATTGTTCAAAAGTGTTTGGCACCTCCGCACCTCTTTCTTCCTTCTGCTCTGGCCACATAAGACATGCCTGCTTCCCCTTCACCTTCTGCCACAATTGAGTTTCCTGCCAAGTGTGGTGGCTCACGCCTGTAATCCCAGCACTTTGGGAGGCCGAGGCAGGGGAATCACGAGGTCAGGAGATCGAGACCATCCTGGCTAACATGGTGAAACCCTGTCTCTACTAAAAATACAAAAAATTATCCGGGTATGGTGGTGGGTCCCTGTAGTCCCAGCTACACGGGAGGCTGAGCCAGGAGGATGGTGTGAACCTGGGAGGCGGAGCTTACAGTGAGCCGAGATCGCACTACTGCACTCCAGCCTGGGCAACAGAGAGAGACTCTGTCTCAAAAACAAACAAACAAACAAATAATAAAAAAAAAAAAACAAAGAGTTTCCTAAGGCCTCCCTAAGTGTCATGCTTCCTGTGCAGCCTGCAGAACCATGAGTCAAAGCCTCTTTTCTTTTTAAATTACCTAGTCTCAGGTATTTCTTTATAGCAGTGCGAGAACAGACAATACATCAAGTATAGTAATAGAGTGGCGAAAATGCATTATGCTGAAAAATGTTCAAATTAAGTCACATCTTTATATAGATGATCATATAAACACTACTTTTAAATATCAATTTACTATGTCAACATTTAAATGCCTACTCTATGACAGTTGCCACTAAGATTAAGTCTCCTACATGACAGTCTGTATTAGTCAGGGTTCTCTAGAGGGACAGAACTAATAGAATAGGTATTTATACAGGGAAATTTATTAAGGAGTATTGACTCTTATGATCACAAGATGAGGTCCCACAATAGGCTGTCTGCAAGCTGAGAAGCAAGGAAGCCAGTCTGAGTCCCAAAACCTCCAAAGTAGGGAAGCCAACAGTGCAGCCTTCAGTTTGTGGTCAAAGGTCCGAGAGTCCCAAAGCCGAAGAACTCGGATTCCGATGTTCGAGGGCAGGAAACACCCAGCACAGGAGGAAAATGTAGCCCGGAAGACTAAACCAGTCCAGTCTTTCCACATTCCTCTGCCTGCTTTTATCATAGCTGCACTATAGATCTGCCTACCCAGATTGAGGGTGAGTCTGTGTCTCCCAGTTTACTGACTCAAATGTTAATCTCCTTTGGTGGCACGCTCACAGAGACACCCAGGAACAATATTTTGCTGTTGTAATGCAATCAAGTTGACACTCAATATTAACCATTACAAATGCAAACATAATTCTGCTTACTAAATGACAATACCTACAATATAAATGATTACATATATGGTTCTATCTACTAGATGAGTTATATATATGACCATTACAAAGTTAAGTGATATATTTCTTGCCACTAAAGAAATTAAAGTTTTGTAATAGATGTCAAACATACAAAGTAACAGTGGGTGTAGGCTAGAGTTGTGTCATGCACCATTCTGAATCTGTATAGAAGAGAAGAATGAGATTATCTTGATTTAAACCAATTATTTGGAGTGACGTTAATGTTGGTCAGTCATTCACATTGTCTCAATGTCTCCATAGGAGAAACTTACAGAGGGCATCACCAAGGAGACACCATTTGACCTGAAGAAATTGGGGAAAGCAAAATATATTAGGATAATTTAAGTAGCTGAACAAAGTTGTAGAAACAAGAAAACCCTTGGCATGTTCATGGAAGACTCAGTGGTTAACTATAACTGGAGAATAAGGTACAGGTGTGGAATGCCAGGAAGGACTAAAAGGGCCTGGATCACAGAAAACAATATATCACATGCTAAATGAAATTGACATTTATCTTGTAAGGTGTCACTCAAGAATTGTGTGTGTGTGTGTATGTACATGAAGTTAGTTTTTCCTTTTAGAAAGTTTGTCTATGTTAAGGAGGATTTATGATGGGAGGATTGGTTAGGATTAGTTGATTTGAGCCTATGTTGCCTCATTTCAGTTATGTGGAATTCTAGCTCCTGAAGTACCTACCTGGAATAGCGGAATTGCTCTAAACATTCATCCATTAAAAAAAATAGTTTTTGTGGCTGGGTGCGGTGGCTCACGCCTGTAATCCTACCACTTTGGGGGGCTGAGACGGGCGGATCACGAGGTCAGGAGATCGAGACCATCCTGGCTAACATGGTGAAACCCTGTCTCTACTAAAGATAGGTGGCGGGCGCCTGTAGTCCCAGCTACTCGGGAGGCTGAGGCAGGAGAATGGCGTGAACCTGGGAGGCGGAGCTTGCAGTGAGCCGATATCGCGCCACTGCACTCCAGCCTGGTTGACAGAGCGAGATTCTGTCTAAGAAAAAAAATAGTTTTTGTACACCTGTTATTTAATTTCCAGACATTATAGGAATGTATAGAAGATTAATGATGGAGAGGAAGAAGAGAACTTCAGTTGGGGAAAAGCATAAAGACTTTATCTAACATGGTGGAAGAAAAAATGGAAATAAAGGGTCAGGCACCACAAATGTCAAAAAAGGAAACTCAGCTCTTCTGAGGGCCTACTTATAAATGTCCTCTGAGAGAGACAGAGAGCAGTCTCAGATGGTGTCTTAGTCAGTTCAGGCTGCTTTAACAGTGTCCCATGCACTAGGTAGCTTATAAACAACAAAATTCATTTGTTACAGTTCTGGAGATTGAAGTCTAAGGTCAGAGTGCCAGCGTGGTTGGCTTCTGGGAGGGTTGCAGACTGCCCTGTTCTCATTGTATCCTCACGTGGTGGAAAGAGTGAGAGAGCTTTCTGGGGTCCCTTATATATGGACACCTATCCCACCCATGAAGGTCCACCCTCATGACCTCATTACCTTCCAAACAGCACTGTATGAAGGATTAAATTCCAACATATCAGTTTTGAGAGTCACAAACATCCATTCCATTAGAGATGGCTTTTGGTTTTCTGACTTGAGTGACTTAGTAGATTAGGTTGCTTGTCACTTATGTAGAGATATAGGAAAAGCAGGATATGGGGGAGTCGGGGACAATGTGTTGATGGATTTCTGCCTCGTGTGGAACGTACAAGCTTTTGAGTTATACAGAATCTTAATCCATTTCTAGGTTGTCGTTGGCTGTGTGACCTTGGGAAAGTTGTTGAAGACATTGAGTCAAATTGAGAGAGACATCATTTCAGCATTTTAAGGAATAGACACAGTTATCAAGTTACCTAATGAAATATTGAATAATTAGAGAAGAATTGAGGTTAATAAGATTCTTTTATCGAGCCTTTAACATTAGTTACTATATGTCCACAGTCTAATTTCATAAGCATTCTCTGTGGACTAATATTTAGAGAAATTCAATTCCAGAGTGTCAATCTTAGAAAACCTTAATTAATTAGCTATTTGGAACATTATAAAATCACTACTGTCTACATTAATATTAGTAGATTGGCATAATATAAACATGTCTATATATATCTACATAATCTGCCAAGGAGTACTAAACTAATGAATTATGGATTGAAATTTTTTTTGTTATAATGCAAAATACAACCATAAATATGATCATTGCCCTCAACTGAAAATAAAGTAGATGAACAAAAAACAGATATATGCTGAGAACAATGAAAATAAACCACAAAATTCCATTCCTAAAAAACTTTCCCCTTTTCTAGAAAACTATAGTAGAAAAGATAAAAGGAAATAAGACCATCTCTTTAAAAATATTAGGAAAAGTCATTGCAAAGTCAATATTTAATATAGCAAAAATTGGCCGGGCACAGTGGCTCAACCCTGTAATCCCAGCACTTTGGGAGGCTGAGGCAGGCGGATCACCTGAGTTCAGGAGTTCTAGACTAGCCTGGCCAACATGACGAAACCCCATCTCTACTAAAAATACAAAAAATTATCTGGGCGTGGTGGTGCATGCCTATAATCCCAGCTACTGGTGAGGCTGAGGCAGGAGAATCTCTTGAACCTGGGAGGCAGAGGTTGCAATGAGCAGAAATCATGTCACTGCACTCCAGCCTGGGTGACAGAGCGAGATTCCGTCTCAAAAATAAATAAATAAAACAAAATAAAGTAAAATAAAATAAAATAGCAAAAATAAAGGAATTTGTCCTGAAAGCCTATCTGAACCAGTCAGGAGCAGGTATTGAAGTTCTCATTAAGTGCGTGGTAGCCAGATAAAGAGCTTTACAAGACAGTGGATTCATTTTAATTGGAACAGGTCCCTGAGGAAAAAAGAAGTACATCACTGAAGTTACTATCTAGACCAATAGTGGCTTTGAGTCTAGACTACTCAGTGAAGCAATCATTTTCTTATTTCATTAATTCTTCTCAAAAATAAACTTAGTCTGGATTCTCTGGAAACAAAAACTATAAAACTTGTGTATTTAACGGGAAGCGAATGTGTATGTTATGAGTTCATTTGTCTGGAAGTCTGGAAAGTATTACTGAATGTGGTGAACATTTATCAATTTCAGCAACAACAAAAAAGCATACAAGATCAGCAGTGAATAAGACAAAAATCTTTTAGGGAAGAGATTAGACTTCATCACCTTTTTATGATCATTAACTTGCTACAAATTGAGTTAAGTCTAGCATATAGTAGATCTTCATATATTCATTGAATGAATGCAAGATTTTGAAAAATAAGTAAAGGGCAGTATTAATTAAGCTATATGTGTGGCATTTGATTATTATTTATTCACATGAATCTGTTCCTTGGCTGTCATCCCATTTATTCAGTCATGACTTTTATCAGGCCATTAGTCATGGATTGATCTCATGTTTCAGAACTTATAGCATATCTAGTATGATACATTAGAAAGACACCTTCCATTTATAATCATGTGTTTATGTCAGAAATTTATGACTGCCTTATCGAATAATAAAAAAAATTATAATTTTCCTTTTGTTTCAATATGTAAATCCTTTTCCCTTGCTCCAAATAGTATAGATTATAAATCTGGTAAGACATGTGTATACGTAAGTGGGGGATGCGCTTGTTTTCTAGGTTGAATTAGTTAATGTAACCACCTATATTTAGAGATTTTGGGGAGCTCCTAAAGAAGGAACATTCTAAGCAATCATTTTCTTGTAAATAATTTTCCAGGAGGCAAAACAAGGTTTTGGCCTGTCCTGTACATAATAGATAAATTATGTTTTGACTAGAATTTTTTTTTTATTCATCAACTGGTTCTACTGCTGGAGTTATGACTTTGTTATCCATGCACTGAATGTTCTCAATATTCAAAATAAAATTTAATGAGATGCAACGTGTAAGTTTCTGGTTTGTAAGCTGTAGAGCAGTTATTCTCATTGTTTCTGACAGAACAGTCTTATTGCTCATGCCTTGTGTATTCCCATTTCACTCATTCTTTTGAATTTATATTCCTTTTAGTCTGTGTTCTTTTCTCCTGTCAAAGAAGCCAGGCAAAATAAAAACAAGCAGTGACTAATTTCATTTTAATATTATTCTTACAGCAAAAAGCATGAGAAACATTTAAATGAGGAGGGAAAAATTCAACCTTGATTTGACAAAATAGGAAAGTGAATTTGAAAGTACATGGGACTATGAAATCAGTAGTCATATTTTATTGTTCTCAGGTTCTCAAATCATTTTATTTCTCAGAACTAGGACTTAAAGAAAAACTTATCAAAGCAAGTGGTAAGTTGTCTTGTTCTCTAGCCTGTTGACCTCAAGAAAATTGTGAATACAGAATTCAGATTGCAGAGAGTATCCCAAATATTTGGATTCCATAAATATTAAGATGCTTTCCAACCCCAAATTCTGTGATGCTACAGTGGAACCACTTGAATTTGATTTGAGGAAGGAGATATCTTTACGCCTTGTATATGATGTATTAAGTTGATGGTAAGTAGTTGTTGTTTGACAAGGGACCATGTTGACCATGACTATGTCTGGAGCTATATTTGAAAAACCAAGTTTGTGCTGGGATTCCAAGTATATCTGTTTTGGAATCAAGTTAAACAGTAGTGTGACTGTAGTTATATTAATTTACAGTGATTATAGATTTATACCACAGATTCTCCTTCTAAAACATAGCCTGAGGAGGAAAAACACTTAGCTAAAATTAATAGCTTGGGAAATTGTCTGTGGTTGTTGGCACTTAAGGGGTAAAAGAGGCAAGGTGGAAAAGAAGTCTCCTCGCATTCCCCCACCTCCATCACTTCTCACATCCAAACAATGACAAAGTCATGTTAATGCTTCCTAAACATTCCATAAATCTGGCTTTCCTTTTTATTCCTCATCTCTACAATTACTGTTCTGGTTCAGTCTCTTATCCACCTCTCCCCTGGACACTGCACATCTATGTAAGTTCTCATTTGTTTTTCTTTGCTTATGTTACTTTCTTTGCCTAGAATATTTCCTTCTTTTTAATTATCTCGTCCTGTGTCTGATTATTTCCTTTAATCTTTTAAGTCTCAATTCAGGACATTCCTCTGAGACTTAGTGTCAGTTCTTTTGCAAAAGACTCTCTATGTCCCTTAGGGAGTTTGGGGGCCCCTTTTCTGTTCAATATCATGGGCAGAGCATGCTCACTGCACTCACTACACTGCATTCCACCCTTCTGGGGAAGAGGGGATCTATCTTAGTTATCTCTGTGTTCTCTGAACATAACAAAGTACTTGCTCCTTCATAGTTGCTCCATAAAATATTTCTTGAGGGCCTGAAGCTTGCTCTGAATTTCCATTCTATAGTATCACTAGAGTCAGCTGTTCTTCCACAAATATTTCTTATCTAAGTTGTATTATCATTTATCTCTACACTGTTTTCTAGCTATATCATCTCTCTACTTTCATTATCTTTTTATAATTTTCAAGGAGCATTCAGGGTGAATTTATAACTCTGGTTTACCCCTTATAATACCCGTGGATCTGGCTTTTGCCTATTTCCCTTTCCAGCGTCCTAATTCTTCACTCTTCCACATGCATCTCTGACACAGATAAATAGAACTACTTGTGCTTTCTCATAAGAAACATGTGTTTCAAGCTTTTATGACTGCACACACAATTTCTCTTTTGCCTAAAACACCTTCATTCCAATGCCTCCTTCCTTCATCTAAATCCTATCCCTTTCTTGAATGATCAACTCTCTTGGGAAAGACTTTCCAGAGCCACTTCCACTCACATCACCTCCCCAAATCTTAGCTACTGCTCTCTTGTGTATTCTTATTGCACCCTGTGCTTTTTCTATGAAATGCCTGTTACACTTCACCAAGTTTGTCAATTTCCGTTTCTATTTCCTCTATGCAAGTATAAGCTCCTCAAGGGAAGAGACTGTGTCTGCTTGGATCTGTGTTTTTGGCACTCAGTACGGTATTTAGCATATACTATAAGCTCAATTGCAAAGGACAGAATGGGAACAGAGAAAAAGAGAAGGAGAAGAAGAGAGAGGAAATGGCAGTAGGCACGTACTAATTTCCAGATATTTGAAATCATTCCAAATAAGTGCATTTAAAAAAAAAATAAACAAGAATCTCATTAGCTGACTGATTACTGTTCTCTGTTTCTGCAATACTTTATAAAACAAAAATTAGTTTTATAATCAAAATATATTTGATCCTCACAAATGAGTAAAAAAGTTTTGATATTTCTATCATTAAAGCTCCTAGAAGTTCATGAAGCTAAGAAGTAAGAAAACCAGAATGTGAATCCATCTGATTTACACAAATTGGGATTATCTGATAGCATAAATAGGACTAGCTATGTAATTTGTGGGGACCAGTGAAAAATGAAAATGTGAGTTGCTTTGTTCAAAATTATTAAGAATTTTAAGACAGCAACAGCAAAGCATTAACAAGTTTAGAAACCTCCTAAGTGCAGGGCTCTGTGCAATGGCGGAGTTCATACACTAGTGCAGCAGCTGGCTTTGACATGCCTTTCCATAGTTCTAAGGTGCTCTTCTGTTGAGTGCTAAGAATGTCGCTGGCAGCACATTTGCCAAAAGCAAACATTTTCTTGTTGGATTAGGCAACATCTGCCTTGTTGGACTAAAGAGCAAACATATTAACAGTTAAGGACCAAGCACAATGTGGGATAAATGTTTTGATTATCTCATGAATCAAATAACCCTGCACATTCACTATCCCTTCTGTCTGAGCCACCTTTCTTTCAAAATCTTATTCACCCAGGTGAGTCCTATACCTGTCTTAAAGCATCAGCTACTCTGGGAAAGACTTCTTCAAGCCCATTCTTCTGCCTGGTCTAAATCATTGCCCTCCTCTATTTCTCACCCTCTTCTGCTCTAGTGGGTCACTCCTGTTGATTTTACTCTGTTTATGTAAGAGTAAATTGAGGCTAGGAGACAACATAGCTAGGAAATACATACTGTTGGATAATTTAGGCTTCCAGCTCCTTTCACTACTAACTCAGCCTTCTTTTATGCTACTTTAACCTGCTGGAGGTCACTTGTCCACTTAGTGTTCGGCATTAGGCATCCTTGCCATCTTACCTTTTATGCCCCTAGAAGAAACACCCTGAAGGCTGATGGAATGATCGCTATTTTCCAGGTAGAAAGTGACACACCATCATATGCATCTGACCTGGGCTTTGTGATCTGGTGAAGTTATATGACCCAGTGCATCCGAGTGTAAGTAGGCATCATTCTGTCTCCAGAGTTGGGAGCGGAAAGATGAGCTTAAGGAACACTCGTCTATCTCATTTAAGAATAATACTTACCAAGCTTTCACATGAATCTGAAAAGGAAGGCCAATGTTCCACACTTTCTGGGAAGCTAGAAGACAATATTCGCATTACTTACAAGCCTTGATTTACTAAAACGTTAAGTGCTCTTTTATTCTTTACTTTTTGAAAGTGACGAATAATAATTGTACATATTCGTGGGGTTCATAAGGATGCTCTGATACATTAATGTCATATTGGAACTGTTTCAATGGCCAAATAGACATTTTACTATGATATAATTTTTTAAAATTCTTGACTACAATTTAAATGTAAAAAGTACATATTAAGATGTCATGTTTGGGTCTCTACCTTTAAAAATGAGGATGGATACAGAGAGGATCTGGGTAGAGATTAGTACTCTGCATGTAACAGAAGAGATGTGAAAGGCAAAACAGCTTCTTGAAATGTGTTAACTGTGGAGCTATCATCACGTGAACATCTTTCATAGTTTAATTGGCTTAATTAATTGAAAATGAGGTAATTGATTTTTAGAAGGTGTTTAAAAAGTGTGGTTAAGGATGGAAATTTTATAAAATGAATTCATAAATCTTTGATAATCCTTAAACAGAATAAGGAAGTGTTGGTTTCAGTGAACTTCCTATAAATCCTGTAAGCCCACATGAGGTTGAAACAATGAGACCACTGTTTGTAACCAGATGTTAATTCTCCATAAACGGTAGTGTGGTTCATAGTAATACAGAATCTAATGTGGAATTAATTTAAAAAATCAAAAAAAGTCAATTATCTGAGTATACTGGGAGGAAACCTCAAATGAAATGCAGGAGATTCTACATGGGTATCCCAGGGAATCTCACTAGTTGTTAAGCAGCCTGTCTCTAGAGGTTTTTCAGCACTTATCTCCATTGTGACTAGGGGATGAACATTTCCATCGTAACTATCAAGATATGTGTGCAACTGAGACTGACACATCTAATAAAGGACTGATTCGCTGCATCTGCCAAGGTCTCTTGGTAAGGGCTTTGGATCCAAATACTGAGATTTCCTAACATTTCCTGAATGGGTACTCTTTCAGAAGCATAGCAATATTATCGCTTATCCTTCCAATTCAACCACTTAGCTTCTCCTTCAGTATTACTATAATGGGGGTCATACTTTGAAAAATTTAACTATGCATTCTTCTTTAGGTTTCCAAGCAAATAACATTTATTATAGTTGTCCCAAGAATTTATGAAACCTGGAGAAGATTAAAGTATGTTATTGCAAATGGAATGATTTAATAGCTTCTGACATGGAAAATAAGGTTTTTAAAATTTCTTGTTTCCTCTCAGTGTACCAAGAACACTGGTGGATGAAGACAAAGGAAAGACGTTACTAATCCAGCCAAAAATGTGTGTCCTTATTTTTCCTTCCTTGGGCTGCTGCTTGAAGACCTAAAAAAGAGTAAATAAATGAGAGTAAATGAGGTCAGAATTGGATTTTTATACCCACTTCTTACTTGAAGCTCTGAGCTTTGCAATCTACTCCTTACATGACCTTATGCGATAAATGTTATCTTATTTTTACAACTGAAGCAAGTGGAGATGAATAATTTATTCAAGATTACACAGATGGCACAGAACCTGGATTTGAACCCAGGACAGTTTGATTAACCACTCTTGATCACAATACCATATTGCTTCTCTGCACTGCAGTGGGGAACATAGAGTTGCTAAAATTTTTAAAACTTAAAATTATGAAAAAAGAAAGTCCATAAATTTTCACACTTTTATATTTATGGAATAAGTGAATTTCTGATCATATTTTTTAAGCTGGTGTGATACCAGGGTATGGCATTTGCTATTCTGGTTTAGTAATGTATTAAAATCTAATAAAATTGTGTGTAGTAGAATCAAAAATTTTAAAATGTAACTTGGACTTCTGTGTATCATGCTAAAAACAATTTGAAGCATACTTTTGCTCAGTTGCATCTAAGCTAAAAGTATTTTTCTCTTATGTGACTCTCTTGAATAGTTTTATAATTGATGATGATTGTGAATGATGATAAAATTTCTGGTCTTGATTTGTCAAGTACCATAAACATTCACAATAGATTTGTAATTTCCTTGGAGTTTCAGAAATTAAATTAATTGCCACTATAAAAATGATTTTTGAAGCTCTTCTAGGTAGGGTACTTTGTTTATATTCTAGCCATTTCCTGAGGAATGGTGTAAATATTTCATAAATGTTTTGGGAACCAGACTTTTTATGCCTAATCTCACTATCCAACACATAAATTATCTCTTTCCTCTAGATATTATTTTTTACTTTTAGGTACTTAGCTCTTTATTTACATGTTTTAAAGGATATTATTTCACAGTAGTTTATTTGAACTAAATGAGATATTTCTGACATCAATTTTTAAAACTTGATGGTTTCTTTTGGATTTTTTTTTCTTTTTTTGTAGACTTGCTGTCTCTAGTTCAAGGCTTGCTTTTGCTTGTAAACCTATAATATTACAATTAAATGATGTAGCAGTTCAAGTAATGTTAACTACCCTGGATTAAAATGCTCTCAGGCAATTAAACGGCAGTTGTAAATCATTGGAATTTGGAAAAATAATCAGCGTCATATGATAGTTGCATGACCCATGATGGATCTGATTTTTAATATATGCCATCTTGATTAGAAAATGAACATGAGCCTTCTATAAAATGTCATGCATAGATAGAATTAAGCAGAGGAAGGAAAAAAAGAACAGAGAATATGTGAATTTTTATTTCCCAGAAAAGTTAGGGGAGGCAAAATTTAACTCAGAAAAGTGGTAAAACTGCAACAATTCCATTAAATCAGTTATACTCCCTGTGAAACACAAGTCACAGTTTTCGTTTTACTGTGGTTAAATAAAATAAACATTGTAGTTGATAAAAACAAGTAAAAGTCATATACAACTTGAAATGACTCAATTAAATACTCCAGCATTGCCTTCCCCATGCTTAGCTGGTATTTGTGTGGCTTCCTCTTACCTTTTCAGCTGTGCCTCTCTCCATACAGATATTTTTATTATCACCAGTCATTTGCTATTTTGTTCAAGATTGATTTGGTTTATCTCTACATATCTGTGATTATATGCAAATAAGGTCAAAACAAACATTGGTGTTTTTATTCTTCAGGAAAATCTCCAAGAGTTGGTGAATCATTCTATTGCCAATAACAGTCATGTGACAGAGATGAACATTTCATCATCTTCAGTAAATAATCAAGATGGTAAGAATTATACAGGATGTAGCATAGATTGTTAAATTTGTGAAAGGACGTTGTAGGCTGTGTTAGTTAGGATTAGGTTTGCCTGCTATTGACAGAAATCTCTAAATAACAATGTCTTAAACAATATGGATGTCTTCTTCTTCAAATAGAATCTAATGTCACCTGTGCAGAGATGACATGCTGGGTCTGTGATCATCAGGGATCCAAATGCCTTCTATCTTGGTGCTGGGCCACAATCACCAAGTGGCTTCCACCTCACAGTCTGCTGTGGCTGATTAAACTCCAGCATCTTACTGATAAAAGAACCCAACAAGGGCAAGGTTGAATTACGAAGAAAGGAGAACATATACATGGGAGGACTACTATCAACCTCTGCCACAAAAATAATCAACCTACATTTCCTCAACGTATGAAATTTTAAAGTATACTACTAAATATAAAAAATTATTCATATTCATATTTTCAATGGTAAAACTATTGAGCATTCTGTCGTTTGTGCCAATTGTTTTACCAAAAATTTTAGATATAAGAGGAGACATTTATAACACAAGGTGTTTCTAATTGGAAAGCAAGCCCTGGAAAAATTTAGAAGACAAGAGAGATGTGAAATGTGCTATACATTATTGTGATTTTGAAATCTATTTTTTGGAAAAATTATGCTTATAAATAATTGAAACTTTAAGAGAGGTTGAAGAAAGTGGAGCACAATTAAATTTTGTGATTAGAAGGTTGCATTTCTTATAAAAAAATGTTTACTATTGAGAGGGCGTGACAGTGCTATGAGGGCAGGAATTTTCATTCATTTTGTTCACTTATATTTTTGGCAACCAGAATAGTGCGTCGAACAGAGTAGGGACTAGATAAATATTGAATTAACGATTGATCAATTGGTGGATTAAATTAGAGTAAGAGACGAAGAAATATTTCAACACACGAATTGCAAGTAGATTTTTACAAAAGAGCATACATTTAATACTAAATTTGAAAATTCACCGAACATAGTAATAACATCAGTTTTTCCTTAGCGTATTCAATAATATGAGAAAACCGTGTAGGAAAAGAACCACTTGAGTACATATAAAACCCACTGAAGATGTCAAAACGTATACTAATTTAAAAGGGGCTCTTACATTTTATCAAGCTAGGAGAGAAGTCTGGGACTAAGCACGAATTTATTTGTAGCAAGTCACAAAATAAAAATAAAATATGTGGCCTAGACTGCAACAGTCATACAATTGTGGGAATTTTAATGAAGTTCTTCCTGAATTTAAAGAAAACCACAGAGGTGTCCTTATCATTATGCATGCCTTTTGCATTGATGAGTGATAATGTTTCATGAGTAGGTAAAAAGGTTGTAAAAACTCTAAATACTGTATGACTTTATATGCTATCACTCAGAAATATGCAAAAAGATAAACACTTCCTCACAATATGTAAGCAGAACATAAGGCATAAGAAGTAAGCTATGCAAGTTGTAAAACATGGGTTGACATGTACTTAATCTTACTTTATTGGTGTAATTCAAACACATCTGGAGATTACTGAGTCTTGAAATATGCAGATGACCCGTGAATTAAGTGTTTGGTTGACAGATTTCAAATTTGAAATTATAATTTCTTTAAAATGCTTTTTTTAAAAAACATCTTCAGTTGTGATGAGAATTCTTTTTCAAGAATAGAAATGTAAATATATGATGGATCCTTTTCTTGGCCTTCAACCGAGAGCCATGATTTCATTTTTTTGTCAAAGACAATAAATATTTTAAATATATTTGGGGTGGCTGGGCGCGGTGGCTCAAGCCTGTAATCGCAGCACTTTGGGAGGCCGAGACGGGCGGATCACGAGGTCAGGAGATCGAGACCATCCTGTCTAACACGGTGAAACCCCGTCTCTACTAAAAAATACAAAAAACTAGCCGGGCGAGGTGGCGGGCGCCTGTAGTCCCAGCTACTCGGGAGGCTGAGGCAGGAGAATGGCGTAAACCCGGGAGGCGGAGCTTGCAGTGAGCTGAGATCTGGCCACTGCACTCCAGCTTGGGCGACAGAGCGAGACTCTGTCTCAAAAAAAAAATAAATAAATAAAATAAAATAAATAAATAAATAAATAAGTTTGGGAAAGAGACAAACTATATGTCACAAACTAATCTCTATCTAAATCTTTGAAAGTACCCATGCCCTCTCTTTAAAAAACAGGCAAATTCATAATGAATTTTTCTTCAAGGAATGAACTCATATCAAGTAACATGAAGATGTTCATTGACAGCAGGGTTTAGTCTGTTTATTCACTGTATTCTCTGCACCTGGAACAGGTTCCTGGCACATAACAGATACTTAACACATATTAGGTATACAGGTGATTGAGTGAATAAATTAATAAATGAATGAACAGCTAATCATATGCATATGTCATCCCAGAATTCCAAGTTTACTAAAATTCTGCAAATTATGACTTCATCTATTATGTCAACATAACGAAGTTTTTCATTTTATGTATTTAAGGTGGCATTCATCATATTGCTCAGAGCTGGCATTCAGTGTTTTGAGTTGGCCAGTCATTGCAGCCAGAACAAATGATTCTCTTCCATTCTACTTTATCCTTAAGGGTACTTTAAGAATACCATGGAGAAAAATAAAATTAGTGTCTGCCATTAATGGATATTGGGAAATAGTTGGTAACCAAACTGATGAACTCAGGAGGGCTCAGTGGCTCTGGGGTAAGACTTGCCACATGGTAGAGAAAAAGTGATGCTTCATTAATCATATCTCTAATAACTTATTCTTGCAATTTCATATATTCCCATACTTCACATTTCTGGGTTTAGCCAGTCACTTCTAATATATATTGCTTTGGTTATAAGTTGATGCTATAACATTGTTGCTGACAATGACGTTACAGTGACATTAGCATGATTTTATTAAAACCTTCCAGTATTATTAAATTAATAATCTATTTGAAAGATATTAGTCAGAAATTTCTCATAAAGTTTCTGTTTTGTTTAAAGTCCTTGCTTAGAGTAGCCACTATTACCAGTTCCAAGCAATTCCCCACTCTCTCATAGACAAACCTGAATTTTAAGTATTAGGATTCAGCCCATTAGGCATCTTGGGGATGAGAATATAATCCTTATTTTAAATTGGTTGGAGAATTAAAGTTACAGAACAAGACTGATGGCCAGTTTCTAGAAAGTAGCATACCAGGATACTTAAAGGAAACCTAATGAAATTGTGGTGCAGCTCTCTGCTGAAATTATTCTCCTGTCATTATCAATGGATGCAGTGCCAATTTTCCTCACTTCTAGTCATTTATAAAGTCTCTGTTAATTTTATAGTATTGCACTTCCACTCTTCTCTCAAGATTTATGTTCTTCTTGTCCCTTTATCTCTGGTAGCTTTTACTTTTATCCTTCACCTTTGGCACTTCTGTGTTTTAGTAGTCAGTATTTTTTGGTACTCAAGTTTCTGGCTCCCTTTACATGTGTTTTGGGTTT